CCAGGGTAGCAATTCAAACCAGGGTAGTAATTCAAACCCAGGTAATAGTTCAAACCAAGGTAATAATTCAAATGAAGAGGTGCTTCAACACAGCAGTGGTGTTCGTAATGAACCAGGTGGCAGTACACAAGGTGGTGCTGGTCCATATCAACGAACACCTGCTAATTATGCTGGTGGTCCCGGGCCACATGCAAATAGTACAATCACCTTACATGCTCAAAAGTGAGTCTTCTATTTATTCCTGCGTTTTCTTTAAAATATTTTTAATTTTAGTGGTCAAACAAAACAAACAAACACTGATGCTAATGGTGCTATTTCGGATGCTGATCGTCAATGGTTAGCTGATAATGGTGGTGCATTACCTATCTCACAAGTTCCACCTCAAGATAAAGCCATCGTTGGTACTGGCACTGGTGCTGCGGCTAAAATGGCTGGTGATACAACTCATATTGGAACAAAACCATTAGACAATCGACCACCAGGATCCTATAATCCTGATAGTGGTACAACTGGTGGTCAATACACTGACTAGATAAGACTATACATATCCCTTGTATCTTTTCGTTTTCTTCTTTTATTTGTTTTATTAAATTTTATTGTTATTATCATATAGGTTTAGTTGTAATATTCAAGCAAAAATAAACAGACATTCCAATAAAATTATAGAGCACGAATTAACAAACAAACAAATATGCTGTAGAATTTTGAAATTTTTTCGTTCTACATTCATTATTAAATTCTTGATGATAACAATATACAAAGGCTCTTTTGACTTGTTCCTTACTATGGTGAAACTCAAACAAGTCACTTATTTAAAATTTCATCGCAAATTGCGCGATACATTTCTGTTATATAACCAACTTAAAAAATAATCTTCGTGTGTAGATATAATAGAGAATTCTATGACATATATTTCATAAAAAAAAGACATTCAGGGTATTTTCAAATGTCTACAGGGAAATATATGTAAAATAAAATATATTGTAACTATTCCTACATATTCGATGATTCCATGCTTGATTAATCTATTCCCTTCATATATATGGAAATAAGATTTCGTAAGACAAATGAATTAGTTTACAACCCAAACTTTTTTATTACAATATAAAATTTTGTTAATAATCATTGTCATCAGTGTATATATTGTCGTCTACGATTAATAAGGTTGTGAA